GTCTTTTATAGAATAAAATTTGTGAAATACTACCTAGAGGAGACTGATAGCTCTATTACCTCCTACCTGTGTATCTTCAGGGTTAGTTCCACATATAATTTGTGTCCCACTTTCTTCATCTGTACAATAAGTAAGAATAGAATAGAATAGAATAGAATAGAATAGATCAGAATTTCCTGTTTTAATGTTGGCCAATATTCCATTGTATGTGTATGTCACATTTTATTTTTCCACTGAGCTATGGATGAGCACTACATTGCTTCTACTTCCTGGCTATTATGAGTAATGCTCCTAGGGACATACGAGTACAAAGCCATGTAAATTCCTGCTTTCAGTTCTTTTGATTATACACTCCAAAGTGGAACTTTTGGGCCACATGGTTCTCTCAGTGTCACTTTTTGATGAACCTGCATATTATATATTCCATAGTGGCTAAGCTATTTTACAGTCATATGCACTCATTCTTCTTTCTTCATGCCTTCACTTCTGAGTTTTTGATGCTTATATATTCATTCATGTTCTTTTCAAAGTACTTTGCAGCTATACAGGCCAGGTCAGGCAAATGCCATCCATTACTTAACCATCCTCATCACACAGCCTAATGTCCCCCGGCCTCTGGCAGGATGCATGCTTCTCAATTACAGCAGTGAGCAAGGATTCCAGATGACCTCATGTGTTGAGGATAAAGCCTGCAGACACAGGGCTCAGGATAGAAGCACTTCACCTCACCTTGGTCTGCAGTGAAGTGAAGCAATATTCTACCTCCATGATCTGACATTCTTTTTTCCCTTCTCAAAGTACATTTGATAGTAATAGCAAAAATGAAAAAGCGAAGAGAAAGAAAGAAAGAAAGAAAGAAAGAAAGAAAGAAAGAAAGAAAGAAAGAAAGAAAGAAAGAAAGAAAGAAAGAAAGAAAAGAAAAACATTTCATGTTCCTGTAACCTATTAATGCTCAGAACTCCTGGTCAAGCTATCTAAGTAAACTAATTTTTTCTCTGAAAAAGAGTGCACTCTTTCATGTCACTGGCTTTTGTTGATCTTGACGGAACTGGCTCTGAGCATTGAGACAGCGAGAGATGCTGCCTCCTCACTCCATTGTCTGGTTTCGTTTTATGACTTAAAGTCATATTTGTCAAATTACCTGCAGTCCTGAAGTGTTAAATGATGGTTATACTTTTATATGTTTTGCACCTAAGGAAAATGTGTAAAATTTAGACATAATACGTGACTAGTAATCTTTCTTTCACCTTGCATATCAAAATGAGATTAAACAAAGCAGGAAGGGGCAGTCAGCACTGTCTCATGGGATGTTCATCTTCCTATGAAATGAAACTTGTATAATGGAGGAGAACCAGCCTTTGGAAAACTATTTGAGAGAATATGTATATACATACATACATGTATACATACATACATACATACACATATGATATGCCATACATGCTGCAGAGTCATGGTTGACCATGATTACAACATGCTAAAGGGGTAACAACCTATGGAATATGTCTAATTCTGGAAAGGTAATCTTGCAAATGTCATATTGTTGTCTTTTCTTGGTGGTAGTTATTACTGTTGTATATATCACATCATAAACAGAACTTGAGTCATTATGGGCTGCAGAGGAGCATCTTTACTGTCATAAGAAAGAGGAGAAGGTAGCCAGGAGCTGGTGGCTCATGCCTGGAATCCTAACTGCACAGGAGGCTGAGATCTGAGGATCAGGGTTCAAGGCTAGCCAGGGTAGGAAAGTTCATGAGACTCTTATCTCCAATAAACCACTAGAAAACTGGAAGTGGTACTATGGCTCAAGTGGTAGAGTGCTTGCTTTGAGCTGAAGAGCACAGAGACAGCGCCCAAGCCTAGAGTTCAAGCCCCATGACCGAACAAAAACAGAAAGAAAGAGAGAGAGAGAGAGAGAGAGAGAGAGAGAGAGAGAGAGAGAGAGAAAGAAAGAAAGAAAGAAAGAAAGAAAGAAAGAAAGAAAGAAAGAAAGAAAGAAAGAAAGAAAGAAAGAAAGAAAGAAAGAAAGGAAGAAAGACAAGGAAAGAAGGAAGGAAGGAAGGAAGAGAGGAGAAGGAAGAAGAGAGGAGGAAGAGAGAGGAAGTGACTAAAGAGTGAAAGGAAGGAAAGAGAGAGAGAGGGAGAGGGGGAGGGAGGGAGTTAAAGTTTTTTAAAGTTGTAACTAAATGACCAAAGACAAATGTTTCCAAAAACTAATAAGATGCTTTAGTAACGCTAGTTCATAGACTTAAGATTCAAAATGATTAGGGTTGACATAGACGTAAATACGGATGGTGTCTGTGTAGTTAACAAAGTTAAATAAATAAATAGGGAAGGAGGGAGGAAAGAAGGAGGGAAGGAAGGAAGGAGGGAGGGAAGGAAGGAAGAGAGGGAAGGAGGGAGGGAGGAAGGAAGGGCCTAATATAAATGAAGCACTGTAAAATACTTCATGTGCATTACTTTATCCATTCCTTACAACAACCTTATAAGGCAGGATGTC